AGTGAAGGGGTTGGGAATTGAAGGAGTCGAGCCAACATTGGACTAGGAAAGTTGAGTTGAGGAATGGAAGTATGACTGTAGGTCAAGAGAAGTTGGTGGCAAAGAGAGAGAGTGGGGATGAGGGAAGGGGCAGGACCTGGTTGTTGGGAGTGGGAGTGTAGTAACCAGAAGGTTAAAGGAAAGGGAAAGGTGAGTGAAGGGGGCTAAGGCAATGGGAGAGGTGGAGTGTCCGGAGGTTCGAGAAAGGAGAGAAGTGACTCAACGTGGATTCAGTTAGTTGGATTGACCCATTTAAAGATTGCAGACAACTTTTTCATTTTATTGTTTTCCCTATATTTTTCTGTAAATACCTTCGCATTGGAGAGTAGAAATTTAAATTAATTGCATTTTGGATGAGATTACTAGCTTTTAACTGTGCTATAAAAGTAATGACTATAAGGGAGGTCCTTCTAGTGACTTTAAACTAAAGGTTGGTCTAATGCATATCTCAAAGTGCAGGGAATTTCAATTGTGTTTCATGAAGCAAAGGGGAGTCTAAATGTCTCGCCCTAGTCATAAATAAATGGGTTTCCTCCTTTATAATGTTGTTCTACTGACATTCTTCACATTATTTATTGAAGAAGACTTTCCTGCCATAGCTACCCAATCTTACTGAAAATTGAAAAAGACCCATCCTTATAATTGGGAATGCATCAGCTAAACAACAGCTGTTACAAAATGCCAGGGCCTTTCACAATGTCACATCTGTTCAGTAACTTCTTGCTTTCGTGCTGGGCAGCAGATGGTAGAGATTAGATGTGACAATACCGGCCATCCTTGTTCATAGTGGTGGGGAGTTCTCTCCAAACTACTTGGTCAAGGGTTCAAGGCTGGTAAACAGTGTCAAAAAGAGATTAGCTGTGACAATAACAACCATATTTGTTAGTGTTATGCTCATATATGGTTTGTTGCAATTTACAAATTTCCTTTCTATTTTGTGATTAAATTCTTTTTATATATGTGCATGATTTGATACATCATTACTTCTATTTTATTTGCTCTTATTTGAATTTCAAAGAGTATCATCTCAACTGTGATCTTATCATGGTCCAGGAATTGAATATTGGGGGCAATACTGTTATAGCAGCACTAGAGGAGGCATGCGGGAAAAAGAGATCGAAAGTACGAGAATTATATAACAGCTTAGGTGATCTTGGTAGGAGCATTTGTCATTCTAGGTTTCTGGAGAATGGACAGCCTGTGTTTTGTCTTTTCTCCTCTCTTTGGTTGGTTGGATGCTTTTTGTTGCGGGGTTGAACTTTATTGACTGTTTGTTTGGGATTAGGTGATGTTGCTCAACTTTGCCGACAAACACAATCGTTACTTGCTCCTCCAANGATCGAAAGTACGAGAACTATATAACAGCCTAGGTGATCTTGGTAGGAACATTTGTCATTCTAGGTTTCTGGAGAATGGATAGCCAGTGCTTTGTCTTTTCTCCTCTCTTTGGTTGGTGGATGCTTTTTGTTGCAGGGTTGAAGTTTATTGCCTGTTTGTTTGGGATTAGGTGATGTTGCTCAACTTTGCCGACAAACACAATCGTTACTTGCTCCTCCAGTGGCACTTACAATTAGGGGTGTATACTCTACTCTTAGAAGGATAAGGTATGATTTTGACTCCTTTTGGTATGCAATAGTTGTTGCTGATCGTTTGAATGAGATCATGTAGTCTTTTCAGTATTCAAATAGGTTCTCTTTATATTGGGTTTTTTGACTCCTAGCCCAGAACCATGCCTCCCTCCCTTAGTCCACTGTATTCCTGCATCATTATTTTTCTTTTTCTGTCATGCACATCCTTCTCGTGAATATCAGACTATGTTTTCCTTTTATGGCAAGCTTCAATCTGTACTTTTTTTGTATCCTTTCTCATTTATACAACGAAGTCTGTCTAAGATGAAAGATAATAGAGTGTTGCAAAAATGTTAGATGTTTTACGTAGTAAATGGATGCTATCCACGGTAACATAGCTAGTTATTTGGTTATGATGATCTTCTTTCGGACTTCTTTTTTATTGTTTTGGATGGGGCGTAAGGTTGACCTTTGTATATTCAGAATTATACCAGCTTCTGCGATCTGTATCACAATTTCATTGTAACGTGGGGAGTTGTCTACCCACTTAAGAGGATTATTTTGCGTTTTTGATAAGCTTACTTCATTATGCCTTTGACTTCTCTTACAATTGTCTGGGTTTGGTTTGTGTAATGTGTGTTTTTATATCGAGGCACCCCCCCCCCCCCC